TTTAACTAAACCCTTTTTAACATACAGATAGGCTTTTCTCAAGGACAAACTAGCTTTTCTGGAATGTAGGGCCTAGCAACTAGCAATATGACTAGTGAAAGTAAAGGGAAATCGTGCTAGAAGTAAATGTCACAGACATAACATGGCCTTGGAAACATAAGTGGGGGAAGCACAGAAGCTACAGAAATGATACAAAGCCCTTCCATGGGCACAAATCCCTATGGCTGGCTGGCTGGTTGCCTTCAGGAAACTTCAACTGCAAGGGCTAATTAAATCCTAGCCAGCCAGTTCCCAAAAGCAATAATATCAGAAATGTTACACTCAGGACTGACCACTTCCTATGCTTGCTTTATTATATGCTGCCTCTTTTTCTTATCCTGCCTTGGAGGTAGCATTATTTCCTTTCCCAATCCCCCATAATGGGGAGGAAATGCAAATCCTAGTTTACAGGCAACTGTTACATGAAAAAGAATCTCAAGACACAAGAACACAGCGACAGCCTTCCAGCATGAAGCTGGAATCACCTGTGCACACAAGTACTTAAGCATTAACACTTCTCAAATCAGCATCTCTGGAGAGAAACACAAAAAGCCTTACTTTCATTGTGGTCAAGGCAGTTGTATTAACTCTGTGATCTTCAGCATGCTTACCAAGAAGCAAGTTCCATAGAAATCTGTAGATCAAGGTTTCCTTTATACACAAAGGAGAACAGCTTCTCTATCAGGCAGTATTAGAAAGTAAGGGCTCCATAATCAAACAAATAAAAGAGGCTACATTACTTCCAAGTATCTATCCCCAAGAAGGAACTAAAAATATTAGGCAACAACTCATGATTGGTGTTATTAAAATTCTTATTATGATGTTGTGACATTAACCATCATGTGAAACCTGAGATTAAACTGCTTCAATCATGAACTGCACGATTTATTAACATATGTAAGATTTAGATAAAATAACACTGTTTATAAAATAGTGATATTCCTGCAATTAACTACCAACTTGTACACTATTTGTAAAGTATGCAAGGTTAATGGCAACCTGTTACTTAATTTCTCCTTCTTCCACCTCTCAGATTTCTATTATGCTGCAGGGATGTTGTCTCTATTCTGACTTTTCAGTATGACATGTTCACTAGACTTTAACCCCCAGGTAAGAATTAAAAATAAATCACTGCATTCTTTTATACTCTGATGTAAATTCGCTTTAGTAGAACTCATTACAATATATATAACTATGCCATCACATTCAAAATGCAAACAAAGCAACAGAAAAAAAGCATAAAGCAAGTTCCAATCAAAATCACCTTGTTATCTTGCCTATCTTAATGTTGATTCTCTGGGCCAGTGATTCTGCCAATTCCTTTAAGTATTGGGCCAGTTCAACACAGCATCCCTATGCATGCTGGTTGCAGCTTGTCATGATGTCTGAACCCAGCAAGGGGGGCTGGCCCAGGTGGTTAACAAACCACCCAGCACACCTAGGACAAGCCTTAAGTTCTGAGTAATTTGCTAACCACGCCAGCCACCCATGCACCATCACCAGGTTCAGACATCACAAGCTTTGCCCAGCAAGGCTAATTAGGTAAACTGGGCAGCATGTAGCCAGCAAGCATGGATTGGTTAACAACAGCATTTGCTAGTGAAATATAGCTGTAGCTAAAGGCATAGCTACATTACAATATGGGCAACCAGAATGAGTCTTTGCATATTTATTTGAAAGTTCTATCCCATCACATTCATCAGGACTTATTTTGAGGTAAACATGCAGCCTTAAATTAAGGGAATCTACAAAACTGAAGTGCCACAAAGGGATAAGAATCTTCAACAGAGAATTATATGTACCTCACCAAACTACAATTCACAAGATCCTTTAAGGAGAAGTGAAGACAATAAATGTGATATGATGGCAAAAATCCAAAGGTAAGTTAAGTAATATATATTAGTATTTGTATCTTCCCTTTTTCCCTGCAAGCAACCCAAGAGTTTACATAATCCTTCTCCTCCATGCCTCCTTTCATTTTCACAGCAAGCCGATGAGGTAGGCTAGACTGGCCCAAAACCACCCAGTGAACATGTCAAGAGGGGACTAGAACCCCACTCCAAGTATTACGTTACACTGGTTCTCCATATATAATCAATGAACTTATGCTACAATCCTATGCACACTTACCTGGAAGTAAGCCCCATTCAAATAGGCCTTAGTTCTGAGTAAACATGCAAAGGATTGCACTTTTGATGTTGTGTCGGATTATGATCCAAATTTACATTTAACTTCATTAAATGTAGCAAAAAGAAAAAACCTCTGTTTTTAGTATGTGTGAGAGCACCCAAGACATCCTGGCAAAATTCCAAATGTGCCTATCAGCTCAAAAAGATTGGAACTGGTTAAGCAAACCCATTTCTGATATTGGAATAGTAAGTGTAGCCTATCCTACAGGGTAGGTTAAAGGATATCTAAAGGTGCAATCCTATGTACCTTTTTAGACAGGAAAAAAGACTTACAGTTCCCGATATTCCACAGCTAGCATATATTATATGACAATAAATCCAGATTTCCTACAAAGTATGCACTCAAGAAGAAGGTACAACCAATTATATTAGCTGACAGGTTTATCTGTATGATCCACTTGCTTGTAAACATGCATTGGCCATATTCACATAATACATTTTTAAGCATGCACACAAATAATCTTAAGATGTACTCCAGAAAGCATAATGCATGAAGTGGCCCTTAGGTGCAGCTAATTTCCATTGCACTGCACATCAAGGATTGGAAATTACAAATTAGCCCAGAGCCATTTAGGTTTTTATCCTAATCCTATGTATTTTGAATTAAATCCCATTGAAATTAATAAGACTAATTTCCTAAGAGGATGGGGATGTTAAGTCTTTCTATTTTACTAAAAATCAAAACGTTTTCCAACTGCCACAAATAGTGGAACTACACTCATGATTAATTTCTCATAGAGTTAAGAAATGAAAGAAATACTTGCTATAGACATTTTTGTGCATATCTGGTTGCTTCTAACAAAGGTATTGCCAGATGATGGATTTTGGATTACTATTTTTTATGGACCAGCATGGCTTACTTTGTTTTATCTGCTACAGACAGATATCTCTAGCTGAACAACTTCATTGTTATCAACGTGTAATCCTTTTTCTACTCTTAAAGCCAGCATTTGCATTATAACGCATGAGTCATTATAGTATGTTATAGACCAACTAGTTGAGCCAAAAGAAGGCAATATAGATAGATATTTGGGACTCTAACAGTGGAATCTTATGCATGTCTAGTCAGAAGTAAGTCCCAATGAGTTGAATGGGATTTATTCCCTTGTAAGTGTGCTAAGGATTACAGACTTCAAAAATCACTCTCACTTCCCTGCAGAAATAGTCTCATTTTTAAAAGTTTAAAATGCCAAGCGCAAAGATTCATTATGGAATAAATCTGGCTCTGTCGGTGTTCTTTTCTACAGAATACATAGCAGGTATTTGAAGCACATACATCTTTTAGAAATATAGAAATCAGAGTCAAAATTCTAGTGGAGACACTCAAGATTCCTCTGCCATGTTGGACTGAAGCCAGTGGGGCAGAAGAAGTGTCAACGGGGATAGTCACCCTGCCTGGTGATGTTCTCCACTCTGCTCCCCTTCTCACTGACTGGAAAGTCCCCTTTCCTCCTCCTTCTTGGTCACTTTTTCAAGCCCTGAAGGCAGTCAGTGCAGCTCTTTCCATACTGGCTGTGAGGGGGTGGGGAGGGAGATTAGAGAGTTGTCTCCAACCTCCAACCTCAGTCATACAATCCATAGGACAATCTCCCAAGTACCTAGCTCTCTAAATAAAAGATGCATTTCTCCTTAAGCAGAAATACTGGCTTAATCCTATATGGATAGTATCAGACTAAGTCCTGCAATTTCCCATTTACAGAACTAGTGCTTATAGATAGTGTATACATAAACCTAAATGAATTATTTATAAGCAACCAGTCATTCATAATTTTACACACAAGAACTATTTTCTAAAATGGGGACATAATTGTTCCATAGCTTAGTAGAAGAACATATGTTTTACATGAAGAAAGTTGCAGGTTCGATCCCTTGTATTTCCAGCTGGAAAAATTCCTGGCTGAAACTCTGGAGAGTTGCTTAGAGTCAGTGCTGACAATACTGGGTTTGCTGGAGCAACAGTGTGACTCAGGAACATGCATCTTCTTGTGTTTCTATGTCCATCTTGACATGCAAGGAACATGGCAGCAAATTTAAAGCTGTTCTTGAAATCAAATATTAAATTAAAATATTCTTGAAAGGGGCCAGATTATATTTCCAGTGCCTAACAAACTCTGCACCCTATGCAGATGAATACTTGATACCTTTTAAGAACATGCTTGTTATGAAAGCCCGGAGTATAATTTTATTATATATTGAGTGTATCTCTGCTGGCTGTGTATATTTTAAAAGTGCTTTATTTTCAAACATAATACAGGGATACTCAGCAATCATAGGGCTTGCAACTCCTGAAAATTATAGTTCAAAGTAAACTATATAAAAATCAAAGAAGACATCTTACCTCACTAACATTAAAAGTTCTATAATGAAGTTCCTCAAATTTTATGTGCTTCTCCTTATTCTCTTTTATTTAATCTTAAAAATATAACATACTTTACATAGATGACACATTATTCAAATCGCAAAATAATTGCTACATCTATCTAGCAATTGCTAAAAAATCTATCATCCACTTTCAACCCACTTTCATCCATTGGTTTCTCATTTCTTACTATTACAAATTCTTCCTGGATAATGAAATCCGATGCACAGTTAAATGCCACTTGACGTGTCCATTTCCCAGCAATTAGAAGAGTCTGTTGTGATAAGCACTCTCTCAGAACAGTGTGTTTCCATGCATATTTGCCCCCCATTGCTCAACTCCACACAAAGCATTTCAGCACTATTGACAAGTGCTTGGGTAACCCTAGTGAAAACAGAACTGGCTGGGCTTACCTTTATTCCCTGCTGCTGGGTGGTTAAGGTCAATTTGGATTCATCCAGAAGCAGAACTTCACAATAAAATTCCTCTGGGACTGCACAGAAACAGCCCATGGCTGTTTCAGTCCTTTGATGTCAAGAGGGCAAATGAGAATAAGAGATGAAGGCAACTTGAAGCCCAGGAATGGGGAGAAGCAGAGTAATTCAGTCTTGGCGAGCAATAAATTATTTGGCTCAGCAAGCCAGATCGAAGATGTAGAAGAAAGCAAGTTTTTCTTTGCCCCTGTGAAGCTGAGGCTGCAGCTTGCTCATAAGGTGAACCAACTAAGCACTAATGGGAAATCATGCTTAGATGTTCTGCAGAAAAGCAAACCAATGTTCTTGCTGCCCTGTGAGTGAGGAGAGGGAAAAAATACATCGGTTGCCAGACGTTAGAAAGAGAGATTCGTGAATACCATGATATTAAAGACTGTACAGGTAAGCCCAGTATGAAGTCCGCCGCTCAGCCCCATGGATTTCTTTGTCCGCTGTTCAGCCATGACAAAACACTGACCTTCCGAGCACAGGAGCCCTACGGGAAAGTGGCTAGCTAGACACCCCACTGCAGCCAGCAATTGGAAGAATCCGGCACCACAAGCAGAAACGGAACCTCAGCCAAGGCCTACTAGTGAGCCGGCACTTCAGCCCGTTCCTTCTGCCCAGAACAACTTGGGAAAGTAGCATGTGCCAGCCGGGGGGGAGGGGGCTCCCAGCTCCTCCTCCTCTGCACACCGCCGGCTGCCACGGTGTGGCTCGCCCAAGCCGTGCTCCTCGGATTAATGATTATCCACGTCCCTCTCCCCTCCCTTCCCCCGGGGACTGCTCTTTTGTGTGACGGGAGAAGAGGAAGGAGCCGTCCCTGCCTCCCACCGACGCATACGACCCCCCCCAGCCCTCTGCCACGAGAGTTGGAAGAGAGGCTCCTTGGTTACCTGCGGTGGGCGACGAAAGCGAGCCTCGGAAATGCCTGGGAACCGCTCCTGTCAGGGCGTGGGGCGGCGAGCTCGCGGCGCCGGGTGACGCTGGGCGAGAGCGGCGGCTTGCGCTCCCCCGCCAGGCGCAGCGTGCCTTCCTTCCTCGGCCGGCCCTCTCGCTCGCGGGGCGCCGAAATTTCTGGGCGGCTCCTCGCTTCACGCCAGGCCAGGCCACTCAGGCATGCCTTCCCATCGTGGGAACGGCGAGGAATTCTTCAGGTATTCCCCTCGACGCCCAACTCCGTTGGCCAAAGTTCCCTGCGAAGACGCTCGCAAAGAGCGAGCCGGGCGCCAAGCGCACCAGACGCGACACCTGCCCCGGCGGAGGCGCCGCCGCTCAATTTCTCGCCCCGCAGCCGAGCAGCCAAGAGAGGAGCGCTGCCTCCTTGTTGCCCGACTCTCTCACGCTGCTCCTACAACGAGGCTCTGCTTCCTGGTCCGCCTTCAGCGGCATGTCCGAGGAGCGAAGCAGCTTTTAAGCTCCAAGAGGACCCGAAGCAGCGCCGTGGCGAGCGACAGCTGCTGCTGCTGCTGCTGCTGCTGCTGCTGCGCCCTGTCCTCAGGGCGGGCAGGTCGGAGCGGCCAGGGAGCCAAGGCTTCGCTAAGCTGGCGTTGCCGCGGCGGCGTCTATCTCCTCCGCGACGAGGCAGCTTCCTTGCTGCTGCTGGCGGTAGCCCGCCGCTTGGCACCTCCGCGGTGCTACCGGTTTCCTGGTCGGTTGCGGAGCGAGCCGACGTTGTTGTCTCCTTGCCTTGGCCCTTCTGCTCCTGCCAACCTTTCACCTCCGCCTGCCCTGGCGGCGGCCGCGGCACCGGTCGGGGAGGTGGCGCAGCTGCACCGAGGCAGCAGTGACCCCTGCCGGGCGATTCCGGGCAAAAGGACTTTGGGTATCGAGCGGAGAGAGCAGGAGAGCGCCTGCTTGTTGGGGCGGGCGCAGGGGGGCAGCGGTCGCCGCTGCCTGGGTGCGTTTAACGCACGAGGTGGCTCGCCTGCAAACGTTCTGTGCAGAGGCAGACGCTTCTCAGGAAGCGTTGTCTTGAGACAGGGAGACTTAATAATCACATTCGCTCCCTCGAGGAATTTAAAGGCTTCTTCCTGAGGTTTCCCATCAAAGGTGTTGTTATGCAGCCGACTAATTAATCGTTAGTCAGTTGCATAATATTTGGAAGAATGCATTTGAATGGACGCAGTCCTCCAGGTCAAGGTGCAGAACCGCGGGTTCCAAGGGCTGAGATCAGGGTCTCTGGAGTTCGCTAGAGGGTCATGGCCCCACTCTTTCCCTCGACCACCACTCATTGGGTGGCTTCCAGGTTTCTATGTGGTTCCCCCACACCGCTCTCCTAAAAGCTTAGTAACCGGCAGTACAATATGCGGGGGGGGGGGTGGCGGGGGGGAGATCAGTTCTTGGGTTCAGTCCTCTTTTGTCCCACACACCAACTGAATACAGAACGTTTTTGTATATGGTCCTTAGGCTAAAGAAGTTCCCCACCCGTATCCTAGGGCTTTCTCCTATGGAAATGAATGGCATCTCTTATCAGTATTTCATTTTTAGGAGAAATTCAAGCAGATACTTAACTTTCTCCTACTGAAACCAATTGTGTCTTCATAATATTTTGTTTGCATGCATTGGATAGTGCTACCTTAGACTGCAATCCTGTTAAGGACTTATTTTTACAACCTGATGTCCTCCAGATGTGCTGAATTATAGCTCCCATCATCTCATGCCTACATTGGATTCCTGTGCTTTCAGACAAAGCCATTCAAACATCCCCTAGTATACGGTACTGTCTTATTTGAAACTGCACTCTTAGATATAAGTCAACACCACTCAGGCCACTGGTCAGTTCTTTCTTCCATGATACAGGTTCTGAAATGTGCTGAAATAAATACCTTTCAGTTTAGCAGTCCTGAATCTACTACAACTTACAAATCTAGGGTTTGTTTTGTTTTGTTAGCAAAACCAGACCTTAGCAAGGAAGGAGAACAATCAATTGTCCTCTTCTTTATGAAGGACATTATTTTCAATATTTTCATTGGTGTAATTGTTCTGGAAGTAATAAGATTCAGTGTAAGCCTTTCTAGTGCCTGTACGCATTGCAAAGATGACAACTTATGTGGAGAGATTCTCCATAGTGATTTCACTGGATATGATTATCCAGTGAATTGGACAAACTCATGAATGACAGGGCCAGCAGTATTTACTAGTCCCTCTGGCCATATGCTATGGATACCAGTTTCTGGGAAATGTGGGCAGGTGAGTGCTGTTGCACTCATGTCCTACCTATCAGCTCCCATGGGCCACTGTGGGAACAGAAGAGATGGACTAGATGGACCTTTGGCCTGATCCAATCTGCCTTATTGAGTGTTTTTATCAGGAAATCATCTGCATCTCACTAAACTTTACATGGTGTCCAGACTGTCACATGTCACTTGTAACTCTCCTGTGTTTTTCTTCCACTTCTGCTACCCCATACTGAAAAAAATGTTGAGGAGGAGGAGGAAAAGACAGAATTGCTGTACAGAATGTCTTCAGACTGGTAGCACAAGGAACCCACCATGTGGTTACGTCAATTCATATTTTTCACAGGAACCCAGCCATGTTAAAAACTGGCAACAGAGACTACTGCAATGGCAAAGGAGAGATCACTTTATTGGCAAAGGGACTGTGCACAGCTATACATGGTTATTGTTATTTGTACAAGGAGCAGAAGATTGGTGGAAAATTCAAGACAAAAGGAAGTACTTCTTTAATTGTTTTATAGACTACAGTATGGAATACAAAAAGCAGTGATAGTAAGCAAATTGGATCCCTTTAAAACGCAATTACACAAAGTCTTGGAAGATAAGATTCCCAATAGCTACTAGTCATGATGCTACCTCCAGTATCAGTATCTATGTACATACATAGAATGTATGGCCTATATATACCAGTTTCTAGGGGAAATGAATAGTGGAGGTGCTGTTGTACTCATGTCGTACTTGTGAAGTTTCTGCAGGCAGCTGTGTGAGCAGAATGCCAGTCAAGAGGAACCGTTTGTCTGATCCAGCATGGTTTTTCTTACATCCTTATGTCATTTGACAATAGTTGCACTTCTCAAAACCTGTGCAGACAAATTTCACAATATACCTGTGCATAAGTCTTTCAAGTACTTGAATCCCAGATCTAAACAATTTAAGGCCCAAATACTCAAAACAGGATCTTGTTCCATATGGCATGCCCATTCTTAAGGTTCTCTTCTAAGGTCCTTTCTGTATGCCATCTGTATCACAAGATATCCTGATGGCCACCAATGTGGGTAGCTTTAACAGCAGGTTAAACAAGTTCATATGGCTATATAGTACTGCTAATATTAGCAGCAATGTACTCCAGATACCCATTGCTGTGGAACACAAGTGGGAGGGTGCTATTGCATTCATGATATGCTTATGGGTTGGGCACAGGCATGTGCTTGCACAGTGCAGGAAAAGGCAATTGGAGCAGGTTCAATGAAGCTCACTCCTAAGTAAGTAGGCAAAGGATAGCTTGCTTAGCTGTATGTTCTAATAAGCAGAATGCAGGTTTCTGTGTTTAGAAACTGTTGAGCAACAATAAGTGCATATCTTGCACTTCCATGAGCACAACTGGTTTGGCCCACACATGGCTAATGAGACATAAGTTCAGAATTATGCTGCCCTGTATCAGCATGTCATCACCTGTCCATATACAATGCTTTTCTTACAGAGCTCTCCAAGATACTTGCATTTCTCAATGGGAGTGGCTGTGTAGATGGTACCTAACAGGCCACTGGAACTAATTTGTTGCCTCACCTTACCCCCAAGGAGGAAAAGAAAAAGGTAAAAGAGCATGCATAGTTTCAACGTGCTGCTTTTACAATGAACTTTATTCTCTGAATGCATCAGAAGGAGTGTACTTTCTTCTACCTGAAGGCAATCTACAGTCCACAACATTTTTGGATGTATAAATTATGCATAGAATAAACACGATAGTTTTGAACTACTGAATAGAAATAACAGGTTAGGCATTCATACCTTATGGCTTCTTACAAGCTTTTTGAAACTTCCTACAATATTTTCTTAAGCCTCCATCACCTTTACCGATCATGCTTTCTGCCTGTGTCCAACTCATACCTTCCTGGACATGCTGAGCAATTGTTTTGATATGGTACAGTTTTATTATTGCAGAGAAGAGGTAACTAACTAGCTCAGTGGCAATTGGTGGTGTTGGGTAGCTGTGATCAATGGGTCTGATCTAGGAGCAAAGTACAGGTGCATAGAATCAGTCTCCTTGGTTTACAATAGTAAAAGAATTCCATTTTAAAGATGTTTTAACCTAACAGAAGGTTGTGTCCACTGTTAAAGGACCCACTAAAGATACTTAAGGTACATCCATTGAAGTCAATCGGATTTCAGTTAGACTAACATTGGATACAACTGACAGAAAAACCTAGCAAGACATAATAGCTGAAAGTTAACATATGAGAGAAAAGGCACAAATCATCAGTACAGTTAAGTAGGGTCCTATATGACATGCAGTTGTTTAGTTTCTCATTTGTAGCAGCCTTTCCCAGTCTGTTGCCTTTCTGTTAGACATGTTAGACATGAGAGAATGAATTCCTCTCTTTTCATATTAGCGAAAAATTATGGGAATGGTAGCCCAACATGTTTAGAGGCACCATATAAGAGGAGGCTAATTTGGAGCCTTCAACTGGAAAATCAAAATCAAAGCCAGTCTCTTTAGAAAGCATGCCCTCTTAAAATTGGTAACAATAGGAAGGAACAGAAATTCCTTTAAAAGAAAAAAACAATAAACATGATGGTCAGACCACTCTGGGGGTTGTTTCATCATATTCCCAGTTTCTCAAATATAGAAGATGAGCATATTTTGATAAGATTGGTTGATTTAAATGGTTTCTAATTTCACAGTACGTTGAAAACCTTACAAGCTTTATGAATGCCTTTGCTGCATGTGTCACTGCAGACATTTCTGTGGGCTGGAATTCCATGCCCCATTTGACAATCAGTTATCATAACAGCAGACCAGGAGCTGTCATTTCAACTTAGCTCAAATCCCAATATCATCCCTAAAAAACCCTTTCCCAGTCTCTAAGGCTTTCCATGCCAATCTTTCAGCTGAGTTGTGTTTTAGAACAATAAACTGTAGTGTTGTAAGGTGACAGCAACTAGTAGATTTATACAATTATTATTGTTGATCATTTATATATCAACTGATCTCCAGTTTATCCCTACTAACCTGGTATAAATGAAATAAGATGTTAATAAGATGGTAGCAGACAGCAATTTTCAGTGGATATCAAAATATTCCAGGGTAGTAAAGTCCATGTACGTAGATGATAAGCAT